CGGTCCGGCCCGGGTCCTCCGCGGCTTTGCTCAGCATCTCCCTGGTCTGCTGGCTCCCCCAGCAGACCAGGGAGATGGGGAGCAGCTTTTCTTGCCCCGGAGAAGGCAGGCGGCAGGATCAGGAGTCCCGCCGCTCCAGTACTCCGGGGCGAGAAAATCCCCATTCGTAACTGCGGATCCGACATAAGTCGGATCCGTGTAACTTGGGGACTGCCTGTACTCAGAAAATAACAGATGACTTACTTTAACCAGATCATGTTAATACAATGAAATAAAAACCCAGTATCTATACAGGGCCTGACACAAAACTCACTGAAGTCAATGGGAAGACTCCCAACTAGATTAAGTACATAAATAATGGTTTTACCCATTCAAGCAAGCGACAAATATACCAATTATATGTATTTCAAGAAAACAGTTGGGGAGATGGTTCTCCAATCTTAAAACTCTTGAATATTTCGGTCTGAAATTTCCCCAAATGAACTTGAGGGGACAACATTTTCAAAAACAGAAGCCTAAGAAAAATGTGGTCCTAACGGGAATACTCAGCCCTTCTGATAATCTGGCTGTACCTTTATCTCCCCAAATACAAATTTAAGGAGGTTAAATTTAGGCTCCTGCATTTGGAAATCTTTGCCTAAGCCCTGCAAGGCTGGCTGAGGACAAAAGGTTTGAGTTGTTGTTCTTTTGCTCCCCTGCCAGCCAACCCGCGGTAAGTGAACTGAATACCTTTATATGAAGACAGGGAAATGGCCAAGCAGCACTAAAAGGGAACAGACCTACAGAAATCTCTGCCACAGGGAAAGAATAACCCAGAAAGCAGCCAAGAGAGATCAAGCCGCAGAAGAGCTACCCCGTCAAGGAGAAATGAGTCTAATGTTTGGATTTTTTTTTAAATCAACATCCAAAAATACAAAAGGGCCTTGTTCCCTGTTCTGTCCCAATTGCATTGCAATTGCTATCCTAACAGGCCAGCTGGACTGTCCAGTAAATTAGACGGAATAAAGTCAGTGTGACAGCCACCATGTCAGAGGGTACATCAACTACTGAACTGAGGTAAAATCATGAGCTGTTAGAGTTCGAGCTGAAGAGAGAAAGCTCTCTGGCTGTCTCTAACACATATCCTTTCGGGATTAAGCAAGGAGGGGTGGGGCTAGAACACATAGGCCACAGTTATACCAACATAGCTTTTCACAGGAGTACCTGGAAAGCGGGGCTCCTCTGTCTTGGGATGTTTGGGATGAAACACTTCCATCAAAGGAGTTTCCCCGATGACATCCTGAAACAGTGGCCCGGGGCGGCACAGCGTCTGGCTGGGTAGTTTCACACACCACCTGAAGTCCCTTAGCATATTTTCAATAAAGAGAAATGTTTAAAAACTGATTTGGGGTTTCCACATTAGACCTCTGACTATGATACGGACTTGGTGCAATAGTATTGTTTATTAAAATAGCATTGAGGGCACTCAATCAAGAATGGGGCTTCGATGTTTTAAACATTGTGCAAACACAGAGTTCTCATCCCAGAGATTTTATCATGAACTATTCCGTCGGGGCAGACCTTTCAACCTGCGTGAAGCTCAACTGACTTCAATGGAAAGCTATTTTCTGCTTTCAAGGTCAGGGCCTAATGCAAGATAAACACATTATATAAATGATGATATGTGGCTAATATTATTAATATTAATTAAGAAACAGTAATTTGAACATGCAGTAATTTAGACTGGATAGAGCACCTTGATGGCACCAAGTCATCCAAAAAAGGTGTCTTAAATGAAAATAGAGAGCACTGGCCCTCTCTTCTTAGCTCTATCATGTGTCTTTAATACTGATAACGTGTTGTCACTTTTTACACAGGTCCTGGAAGCTATTTGTTGATCCTTTACCTTGGGCCCCAATCTCATTCTTTGCAGGGGATTAGCCTTGAAAATGATCAAACCAATTCTAAAACGCATAATTCAATGAAAGCATTAAGAGGCATTGGAGGACTGTTGGCTAATTAATCAAATAATGTATTGGATATGATTTTTTAAAACACATTAAAATGATTTAAAATGCAGGATAATTATTCCAAATGTCATTTCAAAATTCCCTGCAAAAGATCCCTTTCCCACCTCATCCATTTAAAAAAAAAATCAACTCCCCTCAGCTCCCATTGGTTGTCTAGACAAAGGCCTACCTCTGTGTGTCCAGTGTCCAGATTAGGAGATTCACAAGCCAGGCTCTGGTTGCTGGTTGGAGAACTTCTCTTGGCTGGAATTTAAAAACAAACAAACGTAATATTCATGTGATATTAACAAAACAAACCCTGTGCAATTGGGGGGGAAATGGCATCCCCCTCACTAACATTACCAGACACTGCACTGGTTGGAAACTATAGCTGGCTGGCAATTTTCTGCGACTTTGGGGGTGGGGGGAAGTTCAGGAAGCACGGTTACCACAAAATCACAATTTTCTGCAGGGAAATTCTGCCCCCTGTGTTTTGTTGAGCTGAATTGAAACATTCATTCCAAGTCATTCCGGCATTATATTGCATCTGTCTGGGGTATCTCAAGAGAGCTGTAGTTGAGGTGCTTCATGCTCCAGTTCTCTTATGGATTGGGTTCCTTGGAGAGATTACTATGACCACGATGCACTTTGGTCTCCTCTCTGAGTTAGCCACACACAGTACATGGGAGTTTGTGTTGCATCACGGGAGAGGTAGTCTGGCCAGGAAGCACAGCCCTAGATAAGAATGGGGCCACTAGCATCTTAACTACAGCTCCCATGAAGAACTTGGCAGATGCAACTTAAAGTCAGACTAACTCAATAGGAAAAGTTTTGACATTTCCAAACTGGAATTTTTATGAACTTTTGACTTTGTGAAAAATTTATTATTTTTACTGTTCATCTCAATTCAGGATGAAAACTGTCGAGATATTGCAATTTTTCACAACAAAAATGCAATGTTTGCTCATCTCTATGGGGAATGTTTTCAAAATGTAAAATTTTATACGTCAAAACTTAGCACTGAAGGTATGTTAGGGCCTGAACCAAAGCCCATCTAGTCTAACCCCCAACTCAAATCAGTATCAACCCCGACTAAATCATTCCAACCAGGGCTTTGTCAAGCCAGGATTTAAAAACCTCTAAGATCTCACCATTTCCCATAGAGGGGAATAATCACTTCCCTCAATCGGCTGGCAATGCTCCTTTTAATGCAGTCAATATGCCATTAGCCTTCTTGATGAGAGGTTTTATTTTGATAAGGAACAAAAATACATGACTGTACCAAGATCCGGCACGTATGGCAAACAGGGCTCGGACAACCGTACTGCACTTTCCGATGCTTAACATCTGTCACTATACAGCAAGGTCACACACCTGTAATAATGTTCCTGATTGGCTTAACCAAAGCAGTGAAGGCAGAAACCTCAGGCTGTCTGTGCTCCCACATGGGCTGCCAAATAACAAGGCCACTGGCCAGCCGAAAAGTCAGGTCAGACTCCTAGAAAGACACAATAGGATCATTTTATCGTATGTGGATTAGTTAGATCTACTGACCCAGAAGAACATCATCTTCTGTCTGTGCTGATTATCCTACTGCAACACAGACCATGAAAGCAACAACCGTGATCACGTATAATATATATAATATGAGCTGTTTGTGTGCAGTAAGTCAAAAAGTCACTAGTGTAACTATTCAATGAAGGCATAAATACCTACCCAAAGGCTTAGTAATAAAGCATCATGGATTTCCCACTACAAAGCTAAGTAAAAGACGTTTGGCTCCAGGCCACAGTTATACTGATCCTATTTTTCCAGGATCTGTGCCACTACTGAAAAACCAACCCACCATTGCAGCAAAATCCTTTCTATGAATTATTCTGACTATTGCTTTAGGTCCTTTAGTATGTAAATCTTTCCTTAAGGCTTCCTTTTCCTCCAATGCCTGTCTGCACAAAATAAGCCAAAAATAATAATTATTTTAAAAACACATGTATTTAGGAAAGCTAAGCATTCTTGCAAGTATCAACATATATTCTTATTATTACCACTAATTTTTAACTTAAACACCAAAATTATGATGCTGAAAAGATTTATGCATGTGTGTAATTTTACTCAAGTGAGCTGCTCTATTGATGTGAATGGAACTAGTTACACATACAGGTAGATCTTCACAGAACCAAGATCCAAGTATGTAGGGCCTTTACTAAAAATAAGTGGCCCCATGATCTGATTGTTGGAAACATTTTCCTTCCTCACTTTTTTCCATCCCTACTCTTTGTTACTCCCTTCCCATCTAAAATGAGTTTGTGATCTCTTTGGGGGCAGCTATTGTGTATTTGTATGACAAAGCACCCAGAAACACTGTATAAGAAAGATTTTGTTTTTCCCTGTGATCTGATAAGTCTAGTGGTGCACTGGTCCCTGTGCACTGCAGTTGTATAATTATGAACACGATGTTAATGCTGGTTATTCAGGATTAGATTTTGTCTTTGCTGCTGGCTCTGAGTCAGAGATAAAATGTCGCTGTGTCAGCTTGGAAGAGCTTTGGGAAGAACTGGGATTCAAAGACTACCAGCCACAGGAAATATGTGCTACCCTTTTACCGGGTACCAGTAACTTTACACTCCAGTGCTGGCTCCGTTCTGCTGATTGATATGTGTGCACATGCATAAGTAGCTGAAGCTCTACTAACTCCCCACCTGCTCAGTAAAGGGAATAGGGAGTAGTAGGTATACATCTTCACAATGCCTGAGTCAAAATGCAGAAAGGCCATGCCAGAGAGCTGGCCAAATCTTACCTCCTGTGCAGGCACTTCAGGGTTAGGATAATTAGTTACAACATTTACTGTGAAAGTTCAGATTCACGTGGGGGGGGGATGAGAAATGGGATCTGAGCATTATCTAGCAACTATCTGGTTAAACATAGTCATTTTCTAGTAACCTATTTTCTAGGAACAGCTGATTGAGAAAAATAGGGTTGCCAGATGGTTTCAACAAAAATACTAGACACACTTGACATTACATCACAATCTACATTACATCTTATTTAGAAAATACCGGACATTTATATTTTCTCCTTGATATTTTCTCAATTTGTTTCCTGAACAGAAAGCTCAGATACTGGACTGTCCAGTTCAAAACCGGACACCTGGCAACCCTAGAGAAAAGCCAATTTCACATAAGAGGCTAGCCCTAAAACAGTAAGGCTGTAGGACAGACCTTCAGTGAAGCTAAGAACAAGAGGTAGGAATCAAAGTATGCAGGGAAATAAATTCCTGATTACATAGTTCTGTAAAGCTGGCTTATACAGTGTAAAATAAAGAGAAGGACTTCAGTGGACAAAAAGACTGCAGTCTACTTCTGACATCAGAACAGAGAAGTGCTTAATTTGCACCTGTCATGTCATGAATACTATCAGAGATCCTATTAATTATTATCAATACTATTAGTCATAACAAATCAGTAGCAACACTATTTCTAGAATTACTAAGCAGACAGCAAGGTACTTGTTAACCATGAATGAGAGTCAAACAGACTAAGCTAAATCCACAGTCCTTGCTCCAGCTCTGAACCAGTGAGAAGTCCATGCCATCAATAATCACTGATTTCAATGAAAGCTGCAGGTACTTAACACCTCTGATGGTTGGGTTACTTAAGTAAGTGCCTAAATAGGGATTCAGGTGCTTCACTTTGGATATTCTTACCTTAGTGTCTGCCCAGTGCTAAAACCCTTATTCACGTCAATGGAATTACCTTTGATACTTTTACTATAAGATGGGTGCACAACTGTTTGAAAGGCTGTGCTCAAAAAGCAGTAATCAATGGGTCACTGCCAATCTTCAGAGATGTATCTAGTAAGATCCTGCAGAGGTCTGCCCTGGGACCGGTACTATTCAAAATTTTCAATAGCAACTTGGTTAATGGAGTGGAGAGGATGCTTATAAACTTTGTGGGTGACACCAAGCTGGAAAAGGTTGCTAGCACCTTAGAGTATGGGATTAGAATACAAAATGACCTTGACAAATTGGAGAATTGGGCAAAATCAACAAGCTGCAAGTCAATAAAGGCAAGTGTAAAGTATTACATATGGGAAGAAAAAAAATCAAATATGCAAATGCAAAAAGGGGAATTACTGGCTATATTGCTGAAAAGGATCTGGGGGGTTCAGTGGGTGTCAATGCAGCATGATGCAGTTACGAAAAACGCAAATATTCTGGAGTGTATTAATAGAAGTGCCAGATGTATGAGCTGGGAAGTAATTGTCCCATTCTGCTTAGCACTTGTGAGGTCTCTCTGGGAGTTCTGATTCCAGTTTGGGCACTACAATTTAAAAAAGATGTGGACAAATAAGAGACAAGTTCAGTGGAGAGAAACAGAAGTGATAAAAGGTTAGAAAACCTGACCGATGAGGAAAGGTTAAAAAACTGGGCATGTTGAGTATTGACAAAAGAAGACTGACAGAGAACCTGATAACCAATTTCAACTAGGTTAAAGACTGTTATTAAGTGTGCAGTGATCAGCTGTTCTCAATGCCCACTCCAGGTAGGACAGGAAGTAATTGGCTTACCCCGCAGAAAGGGAGAGTTAGGTTAGGTATTAGGAGAACTTTTTAACTGTAAAGTACTGAAACAGGCGTCCATGAAAGATTATGGAATTCCCACCACTGGAGATTTGTAAGAACACCTGTTAGACAAATCAGGTATGATCGAGATTTACTTGCTCCTGCTTCAGCACAGAGGGATGGATTAAATGACCTCTTGAGGTCAATTCCAGTCCTGCCATTGTATGATTCTTTTATGGCCATGGGACTGCTCTCCTGCATAGGGACTGGGCCTTTATTCTGCACTGTATAATAAACTCACTAGCCACTATTATGGCTATTTGCAGCCAAGGCAGAACTGCAGTCTCCCCTCACACTGATGTCACACCATTACCACTCCCTGACAGTTCTTCCACTTACTTTAATCCTGTGGACCAGAGGAGCAAACAGGAACACAAAGAGCTCCACTGTTGCCATGGAATTTTGAAAGAACTTCCTTCGGTTAGTCTCTTCATCTTCATTAGTGCTGCCACGCCGAGGGTGTCCTGGAGACCCTGGGTTTTCAATTTGATGAATAAAAGCACTACTGCTCCCTCCCCAGCTGGAGCCTCTCTCGCCTCCAATCCGGTCATTGCTGCAGTCTTGAGGAGCTTCCAGTAGCATCCAGTGGAGGGTGTGAAGAAGTTTAGTTTCTGCTACTCCAAGCTTGTCCTGATGCCCTGAATGGAAAAATACAGCATAATGGGTGTCTCTATTTACACAGGATCAGTACATTAGAGATTTGGAGATTTTCAAAGCCACTTCAGAAATTGGGCATCCAAATTCCCTATGTGGCTTTGAAAATCTCAGCCCTGAAATTAGAAACATCTGAGCTGTTCCTAGTATGTCTTGGCTAAAACCACTTGATTGCCTTGTGCTCTGCTCCCTGAAATGTCACTCAGTATGTATCTGCATGTGTAAACATACAGTACTCAGAAAAGATGCTAACTTGACAGCCTGGATCTTGAAGCACTTCTATTGATCCCCAAGTTGTAGCACTGCAAGCGTCTTCACACTGTCTTCGGCTACTTGTCTCCAGCAATACACTTCAACTCTGTCTGGAAGAACCAGAGAAACTAGTTTGACCTTGATGACCATGGTGCAAAGCCAACTGATGTCATTGGAAAGACTCTTAGGGTATGTCTACACTAGCTCGTTCGTTCAAGCTAGGTAGGCAAATGAGGGCAACCGGAGTTGCAAATGAAGCCCGGGATTTAAATATCCCGGGCTTCATTTGCATGTTCCCGGGCGCCGCCATTTTTAAATACCCCTTAGTCTGAACTAACTGCCCGCAGCTAGATGCGGCAGTTAAACATTAATTCGAACTAACTCCTTAATTCGAATGAACTGTTACTCCTCTTGGAGTAATTAGTGTCAATTGCGGTGGGAGATTTTGTAATCGGGATACTTACCCATCCAGAACTAGACCAAAGGCAATGATTATTTACATGCAAATACAGAACTTTCAGACATAAACTTAACATCAAACCAGACCTCCTTATCCTGAGATGCCAATCTGCAAGCGGCCCACATCCTTTTGAGATATGCCACGATGAGGAGGATGTAACAACAAATGAAAATACTTTCAGTGCCCACACAATTTGACTATTATGGCAAATGTCTTGCAGAAAATAAATATCCCATGAAGAAGCTTATTAAAGTGAGGTAGCAATACTACCAATACGTCCATTACAGTTCCTCTTGGAGATTAGTACTGAACTAATTTGACTCTCAAGATTGTTAGTCCCTCTTGACAACAACTTCCAAGAAGTCACTCATTTGTCTAGTTGGCACCCAGAAATCTTGGGATGGATTTGATCCTTTCAAGCTTAAAGAAGAGGATCTGTTCATTCATGACTTTTTTTCTCACTTCCCATTATCCAGCAGTGAAATCAGAAAGATGTCTCTGTGACATCACACTTCCCAGTCTGTGGCTGTAGAACCAGGATTCAACTGTAGCATTAAATAGAGGTGTCTCCTGGAGGTTTGTTCCAGTAAATCCTTATGTAAAATACAAATATCTTCAGTGACAAAGAAAATGTAGAAAAATATGAACTAATTAAATATATTCCCATATGATTAGTCTTCTGTTTAGGTTCCCCATCCCCAATTTTGATCTAGTGTTAAAATTTCATTTAGAAACAGAGAAAGATTTGGTGTTATATCAATTTTTTAAGGCACAACTTCAAATTGGAGAAAATATTTAACTTATTTTTTGATCTACCTAAATAAAAGCTAATGTCTAGTTCTACGGGGTTGTTGTTTTTTTCAAGAGGCTGACAATTCTTTGTATTATGTTATCTGTGCTGAATTTTATATAAAGCATAGTCTGATTACTATATCGCCTGCAGAGTAACCATAAGCAAAATTATACAAACCCTTACACATATGAACAATCCTATTCTGATTAATGTGATCAATCAGGTGAGTGAATTCTATCCACAAGAATAAAGGCATAAAGGACTAGATTCCCATCATATTTTGGAGTTCAAACGAAGTAAACAGGAGAAATAAGAGGACCTATCTTGCTAGGTTTATTTATGTGATTAATCCTTACTAACACTAGTTGTCCCATAGACTTACATGGGTTATTTGCTTAAGAAAGGACTACTATATGAAAATGGATTTGCACCTACACCTTGGAGAAAATGGGTATGTTAACACTACAATCTAATACCCACCGCTGGCCCAAGCTACCTGCAGGCTTGCAGGGCTCGAGCTACAGTGCTATAAAATGGCAGTGTTGCTGTCTGGACTCAGACTGTGCTCCCGGACAGAATGGTCTATGGCAAGTTAAGCACAACTCTGGAAGTAAAAACAGTAAAAAGCAAACTAAAGCAAGTACTAACCTAGCTTATTTCGATTGGAAAGCAAAGTCGCTGTGCAATGAAGTACATGTGGTAGTGCAGCTTGAACAAGTTCCCAACGAGAAATGCTCTGGATGGCTTCAGAGAGGGCTGGAGAAAGACCATGTAGCTTGTTCTCTACTAAAACTCTTTCAAAAGACTAAAGAAAAAAGGAAAAAAAATATTATCCCTGCATGTGCTCTGCAAGACTGAGTGTTCTCTTCTAAAGCTTTTGCTGTCACATATATATAACATACAGTTCTTTTCAGTAAAACTATGCCTTAAAATATTTTCCTGAAAGAAAAAAGACTATAGCCAATGCTCACTGGATGGATGGTTAATCAGGAGACAGCACTCAGAAGAAATCAGAACTAGCATGGTTCATTTGATATATTTTCTTTAGTCAAAAGAATGAAAGAAATGAGTATCAAACTCCATATAAACAGAAGTACTTTGGGCCAAATTTGGCATAGAGTTAATCCAGGGTAAATCCAGAGTAATTCTGCTTGTAAGTAAGTAAGCGAAGCTACTCCAGATTCATACCAGCATGACTGAAAGCAGGGTTTGACACTTTCTTCAAAGGTCTGGTGTAGCATAAAGAGCAGCCAGTTAAAGCACAAAGGCCTTAGCAAATATTTTCACACCCTATCACAATTGTTAATCAGTGTGTAAAATCTGTCATCAGGACATTATACAGTATTTTTGCAAACAGTTAAGGTTCTTGGCTTGACCATGTTGATTATTGTGGTCTCAAGAAGCACCAAGTTTGGGGGCCAGGGTATCTGTTTAATAGAGGAAAAAACCTTAAAGGAAGCTTTTTATCAGACAGCCAAGCTATTTCTACTAGGGATGTGAACAGGTTAACTGGTTACTAGGTAAGCATCACCCTTACTGGATGATGCTTACCATGTACCAACTGGTGCCGAGAAACAGCCTGTGGCCTGCTGTGAGCAGAGGGCTTCCCCACTGAGGCCGGGAACCAACAGCAGCCCCAGCCTTGGGACCGAGGCTGGGATCGTCGTCCACAGATGGCAGCAGCCCCAGCCCCAGGCGTGATTCCACTTAACATTTAACTGGTTCACTGACTAAGTTAACCTAATGTTTAACTGATGAATCGGGATTTTATTACCTTAATTTCTACAGTTCCTTCTTTTGTGTGTGGCCAAAAGACCAAACAGTCTTCTGAAGTTACTGTAGTCAAGAACTGTATTAGTGATATCACGTGCGTTGCCATGAACCACTGACGCCTTCTCGCAATTGACTCATTCACAAGCTGTTTCACCAATTTTACTATGCTCACTGAGATAAGTAATAGTGAATGTATATGACCTAAATGACTCTCCAGATGCCATCACCACAGATTCATAAAATTCAGCCCTCAACAAGAGGCACAAAAATACTCTTTGGTAAAGGAGTTGCATTTATCAGGAATAAGCATAATCTCAAAGGATTAAAGCAAAAGAAACTTGACTTGCAAACTAGCCAGCAAAATTCAACACCCACTCAAAGGGTGCAATACGAATTAGTCCAACCTCCTTTGTAACATTCTTTGTTTATGTACACCAAAGTCAGGAAAATGGTCTTTGCATATGTTTGTTCTACAAGAGAGAAACACCCTCTCAGTTCTGGATATAGGCAGATTTCATGGCAGTAAAAATGGATCAAGAGACTACTATGCATAATCAGGTCATGGACACAATCAGGTCAATGGATCAAGTGACTACTATGTATAATCAGGTCTGAATATGACTATAATGACATGCTGGAAATAACAGTCAAATGTTTATCATAGAACCATAGAAGATTAAGGTTGGAAGCGGGGTGGGTGCGAGAGAATTGTCAAGTCCCAGGGCAAGATTGTGGGGGAGAAAGCTTTGCACTCCCAGAAGGACAAGGCCTCAAGTTGAAGGGGCCAGCCCTCAACACTGCTCAGATGATGCCTCGCCACGTTCCCCCCTCCCCGCCAGCCTTTAGCACCATCCGGAGTACACCACTCAGGGCTCCAGCAGCAATTTGAAGGAAGCAGGCCCAGGCCTTTGCCCCCCACTGTTGGCACACCTGCGTGGAAGAGACCTCAGAAGGTCATCAAGTCCTACCCGCTGCTCAAAGCAGGACCAACCCCAACTAAATCAACCCAGCCAGGGCTTTGTCAAGCAAGGTCTTAAAAACTTCTAAAGATGGCAAATGTTGGCAAGGAATATACTGTTATGTTGGAGGGTGTTGGTAGCTGCCAGGAAGCTTATCTGATCTATGGGCAATCAAAAATCTCACTGAAACGAATGGAGTGCTAGCTGCTCTGCATTCTGGCTGCATTGAGAGGCAGTTAAGTGCCTTTATGGAGTAAGATGGCTGAAACAATAGAAGCCACCATCCAAAGCACTCGTCATATAGAAGACCTGAGAACAAACACAGAATAAGAGAAGCATCCCTGAAAACGGATAGAAAATTCAAGGATGGGGCAGTGGTTGGACTGCAGCTGTTTGTGTCTGCATGCCTCAAAGGGCGGAAGCAAACAGAAAGCCAGAGAGGCACTGGTAAGCAGCCAAAAGAAAACACATCTTTTGGGTGAAGAACTGGGTAGAAAAGCAGACTTGAATTTCTTAATGAGAAAACTGCCTCCTGTTATTCATTCCTACTGTATTCAGTGAAACAGGACTAGCACCAAAGAAATATGACTCATAAATCTCACCTCACGTAAACAGCTCACAAGGCCCCTGAATATTAGCTAACTGCTTGGGCCAGAAGGGGCAACAGTATGTTTATCCATCTAGAAAAAGTGAGTGTGATGGCTGAGATGCAGAACAGGAAGGTGGGATTTTATTCCCATTTGTCAACCCCCCTTCACCCTTAACATGGTTGTTCTTTCCATAGAGACTTCATTCAGGCAAAGGAATGAAATAAAATGTGCTTACTTCAATAGATTGACATGCAGCTGGAAGAAGTTGTTGCCTGGTCTGAACAACTCTGGAATGATGGGGCTAGACCACTGCAGCTTAAATCTACTCATTTACCTTGGCAGCTACACATAATAGATAAGATCCTTTTTCTCTCATTCACATGAATAGCAACTAACTCAGCCACTAACCCCATTGAATCAATGAGCCTATTCAAGAAGTTAGAAACCACTATGAGAATGGCCAGTACAGTTTGGCCCACATAGAAGTATGACCCTCATACTGAGGAAAGAGACTGCTCATACATACATCTCTCTGTGTACAATCTAGAATAAACAACATTGTTTGGTTTGTAAATGAATCATTCTAACAAATGAAAAAAAACAGAAGCCCCTATACTCTTGCATAAATTGCCAGAGCATATTAAATGTATAAGGGGATGGAGGAAAAAAAATCACAAAGCAGCCATTCTATGCTGACACAGGCAGGGAATGCAGGGTCATTCTCTTGCTCTGCATAATGTACGGTAGCTTCAAAACACTTTTATGTTCTTCCAGGCTGTGTCTACACTGGGCCACTTATTCCGGAAAATCAGCCTCTTTTCCGGAATAAGCTGCGAGCTGTCTACACTGGCCCTTGAATTTCTGGAAAAGCAACGATGCTCTACTGTACAAAATCAGCCACTATTCCGGAAAAACTATTTTGCTCCCGCTCGGGCATAAGTCCTTATTCCGGAACACTGTTCCGGAAAAGGGCCAGTGGAGACAGTCCAGTAGTTGTTTCCAGAAAAAAGACCCGATCGTGAAAATGGCGATCGAGGCTCTTTTCTGGAAAAGCGCGTCTACATTGGCCACAGATGCTTTTCCGGAAAAAGGGCTTTTCCGGAAAAGCAGGCTGCCAATGTAGATGCTCCTTTTCCGGAAAAACTGAAAACAGAATAGTATTCCGTTTTAAGCAGTTCCGGAAATTCATGCCAGTGTAGACACAGCCCCAATGGTTAGGGCATCTGCGTATTGGAAAGACTGTCAGATTGGACTCTTCTTCAGACCGCTCTAACCCACCTCAGCTGCTCAAAAGCTGCAGGGATTGTTACCGCAGCTAGGAATAAATTGTGCTAAGAGGACGAAACTCTTATGCCAGTGGGTTTAAGGGGGATGGCCTATGAGCCATAATGCTAATGTAGGTTTGCCAGAGAATTTCCCTATGTATGATGGATTCTCCAATGGCCAGTTAAGCAAACTTTGTAGAAAGTTAATGATGGTGTGGTACAAAGCGTCCCCTTCCTATAGGAGAACCAGGCTTTATGGTTACAGGGTCAGTCCCCACTCCAGTTCTAGCATATGCTTGTATATCTGACAGCAAAATGTGGATCCTTCCCTCAACTTTCTTAGGGCCTTGCCCTACATTGTTTATGCAAGCACAACTCACAGCAACTTCAGCTGATGTTCTGCCTACACACTGAGTGCAAGATATGGTGCTCTGCATCAAACTTTGATCTTGATTGTTATAACTTAGCGACTCCATTTCCTTTATTTGCTCCTGAAAATTTTCAAAATCAAGATGAACAGCCCAGTTTTTATCTTCCTTCACTAGAAGTTACATATGCCCTTGGCAGAAGGACAGTATTGAAATAAAATAAAGGAGGGATCCTAGGGCACTACAAATGCAGCTATAGCTGAAAATCAAAGAGTCTGATAGGTTAAAGGCATGGCTATTCCAGCACACACAATGGTGACCTAATTCAGGTTTCTGTAATAAAAGGGACTGAATGGAAGCAATATAAGATAAAATAATCCAAGCCAACCTGAATCCAAAGATTTGTGCCCTAAATATGAACAGCCAACTATGGAGCCAGATTTGAAAAGAAAAAAAAAAGAAAGGCTAAAAAGAATGACATCTTCTGGGGAAGGAGATCCGGTCACAGAATCCAGTACCATCAGCCTGAAAAACATATTCAAATTGACTTGGAAAGCTCAGAGATGTTGAATTGGACCCTCCTTATCCTGCAAAGGATGTATGAGTGCAATGAGATGAAAAAAAATAAAGAAACATTGAGGGAAAATGTAGGGAGGCTAGAGAGAAACAGGGAACAAGAGAACAGAAATAGATGTCAAATATTGTATGTTTTAATGGAGTGTTAGGGCTCAGAAATTTTAAAAAATGGCGAATCAGCCTCCGGATCAGGATACATCAAAAAAGCGTGTTAAAAAACAATGTATGGTGGGAGTCTTCGTTATACTCACATGAGCAGAAAAAGCTTTGAGTTTGTTCAGAGGTTGTTTTAGGAAAAAACATAGTTTCCTGTGTTTACCAATCAAGGGCATGTCTACACTGCAATGAGACTGCAGTGAGGCTCAGGATAAGGGACTGTTTAACTGCAGTGACACCAAAACTTAAAGTGTCGCGAATTTAGAGCCAAGAAAAAGGTGACACTTCTTTGCACAGATAACCAGTGAAATTAACCTTCTACAGAAAAGTCATTGAATCAATTCTCTGAAATACTAAATATGGATAGACAGTCATTGCTAAAGAATATTGTGTAATTATGCCAGCCAATAACACTATGATAATCACATCCCATGCTTCTGGGTATGAGTTGATTGCCTGCAGAGATCCAGAAGTATTACACCCCTTCTCTCCCCACACACAGCATGATATAATTACTGGCATGGAAAGAGGCTTATCTTTCTTTGGAAAGAGTAGGTGAGGAATCACTAGCTTGATTCAACAGATCAGGTCCTATATTAGGGGTGGGCAAATGGATCTGGCAGGCCCCCACTGCTAGAGTTACCTGCACAGCTGCAGGTACTGGCAATCACAGCTCTCATTGGCCGCATATTGCTGTTACCAGCCAATGGGCGCTGTGGGAAGTGGTGTCTGGTCCACGCCTCTTCTCATGGCTTCCATTGGCTGGGAACAGTGATCCATGGCCAATGGGAGCTGCAATTGCCTGTACCTGTGGCTGTGCAGGTAAATATAGTGGTGGCTGCCTGCCAGGGGCTAACTCTAGCGAACTGCTGCCATGTTACTGCCCACCCCTGCCCTATAGTCTTCTTCTTTTCTCATCTACTCACAGTTATGTTTCACCTTTGGAAATTTCCTATCATAACTACATAATGACTAATTCAGAACTGGAGAATGTAGCTGAAGAAACAAAAAGTTCTGTGCTGAGAGGTGGCCAAAAGCATAAAAGCTACAAATCCTTTATAATGCTGAATTCAGTTGCTAGAGAGCCAATTAAAAATATTCTACCAATAAATGCAGGCAGAATATAAATCTGTCGCTGAATTATTCTCAGAAGCATGAAACCTCCTCAGCCGTCCCTCTTACAAAGATAGACAACTATAAGTCCTTAGAGACACACATAGAGGGACAAATGCTGAATTAGCTTGCATCAACATTGTGGAGGCTTGCACAACAGGATAACTGTTTGACCTGTACCTGGAGGGATAAGCAGTGGAGAACCCAAAGAAGAAGGAGTCTGCCTAGGTAGGGCATTCATTGTACGTTTTTAATAATGACCTACATAGGTGGAAGAACACGGGTGTCATGGCATGATGAGTGCAAATTCATGTGGCTCAAAATTGGTGAAGAAGTGCAGTGCGGCCAGCTCCAATATTTCCTATACGTATCAGCTAGGTTCATAGTATCACTATGGACAAAAGCTTGTGCTTAGGAATCCAGATCTGCCACAAATTACCCATCTTCCACACCTCCACCTATCACACCAAACACATCTTTTTACTACTTTTTCGGTGGTCCTTTTTCAGTATTTGAAAACAAAACACTGCAGATATTTACAGCATGGTAGGAGACAAAGAGGTTCTGTATCGCCCAAGAGATACCCAGCACATATACTCCGGGTTACTTCAGTATTCCATCTTGTAAGGAGGAGTTAGAAAATCAGATTTTAAAACTTAAAAAAAAATACCCTCAATTTATGTTGGGATTGCTATTTCAACTCTTAGAATTATATCCAATTTTGATAAATGACTAGAGCCTTGCAAATCTGCAGATATCTGCTTTATATCGGTGGATGTCCACATCTACGGAGGTGGACACAGATATCCACGCCTCATTTTTGTGGCTACAGAGAGGCGGATACGAAATTTTTTATCCATGCAGGGCTCTACAAATGACTCAGTTAAATACATTGGAAGGTCAACCACAATGCACAATAACTGTTCAAGAAATTCTGAAGTGTCCTAGACATGTCTAATTTGACCTTGAAGAATAATTTTCTTAGAGAATCAGATATCTCAGAAGCTAAACTCTTTAAAGACACAGCTGGTAATACATACATAATGGTAACTATTTTATAACACTTCCTGTATTTTACTATAGTGTTAATATATTGTGTTCTCCATTTTCTGGATTTTTTCAGTTTAGTTAGTATATAGGACTACAGAAATAAAAGTTAAGTCCTTAGTACTGAAAATATTTATGTATATACTACTTACACATATTCATATTTCCATGAAAGTCACTAGGATTAATTATAAGCACAAAATTAAACACACAACTGATAGCAGAATTAGGGCCAAACATATTGTCTCCACCCCTTACTGATATTTTACTATGGTTTTGAACATGCATTTTGAGTTGCATGGCTGGTTTGACGTTTTTTTCCCCCATGATCACTTGGAATATTTTTCCATCTCTGGTGCAATTTCTGACATAAGTAGATTTACGCCAGAGATTATTTGGCCTTCGATTTCCATCTTATCAAATTTCCATATTCAGCCAATGCTGCATGAAACTAGCAAACAATAGTTTAAAGAGGGGGACCACATACCACACAGGAAGCTTCATACTGTTTTCCCAGTTTGGGCCTCAAAAATGCACTAAAACCCCAAAAAACAACAATAAAAAAAGAGTTAGTCTTCATAACAGTTATAGGCATAGCACATTACAAATGACAATAAAAACATGTTTAATTAATTTTTCAGTGTGATGTTACTGAAGTGACTAGATAAGCCCATATAACAAACAGAAATCAAACTATAAGAAACTCAGAAACCTGTTGAATGCATTGTACAGAATGTTATTACCTTTTCCATAAACAGAAGGTTTTCACATAATCAAGCAAATACAAATATGCAAATAAAACATTCTAAAAATGTTATATTCTTCTATTAAAGGTAAACAGAATTCATCAAGTTTAACTCAACAGAACTAGGTATGTGAGCATGTACTCGACTATGTATGCTTATGCGCATTTCTGATACAGAGGCAGCAAGCGGGGGAGCAGGAGCCGGTGCTGGGAGGAGCCAGCTTAAAAGCCAGTTCCCCCCAGCACCAGGTGCATGGTGTTGCCTGCCCCACCCTGCACTGCTGCCTCTATCAGGGGCAGCAATGGGGGAGGGGAGCAAGGGAGGCTGCTGCAAAGCAGCCTCTGTCCATGGCGGGCCTGAATGCCCCATGGTCAGAGGATGCCCTGCATCCCCCAGAGCAGCCTCTGTCTGTGATGAGCCTGGACCTGCCCTAGGCAGAGGCTACTTTGTGATAGCAGCCCCTGTCCATAGGGTGGAGTGGGGGAGGGGGAAGGAAGGGAGTCTGAGGCTCCTACAGAGCAGCCTCTGTCTGAGGGGAGCTCAGACCCTCCACAGACAGGGGCTGCTGACACTCCGCACTGCTTCCTCTGTGTGGCTATGTCTAGACTGCAAGCCTCTTTCGAAAAAGAGCGTCTAGACTGCAAGCAGTACTTTCGAAAAAGCAAGGTGCTTTTTCGAAAGAAAGCAGCGAGTGAGTCTGGATGCTCTCTTTCTAAAAAGCCCTGCTGGCATTCAAGAATGCCTTTTTTCGAAAGAGCACTTTCGAAAAAAGGCGTTCTTCCTCGTGAAATGAGGTTTACCGCCGTCGAAAGAAAAGCTGCGTTCTTTCGATTTAATTTTGAAAGAACATGGCTGCAGTCTAGACGCAGGTGAAGTTTTTTCGAAAAAAGGCTACTTTTTTCGAAAAAACCCCTGAGTCTGGACACAGCCTATCAGAGGCAGTAGTGCAAAGTGGCAGACAGCCAGTCCACAAAGGGAGCTGGCTTTTAAACTGGCTCCCCTCACGGACCAGCTCCCCCCTGCCACTCCACACCGCTGCCTCTGATGCACTGCAGCAGTGCAGGGTGGCAGGGGACTTCCCAGGAGTGGAACCGGACTGCACAGGCTGCTGGCTCTGCCCCCGGGGACTGTCGAATAGTTGTGTAACCACTAGTATTTTATGCGGTTACATGACTATTCAATTATACGATAGCGAACACCCCTAATCAGAATGAGGAATTTTCTAGTCATGTTTACCGAGAATAAAATATATTAAGAATTACTGAAATTAGGTGTTGAATAGCTTTGGTTTGCTAGCAGATTGTGTTAAGGATTTTTTTCCTCTCTCAATTATGTATGAATAACAAGATTAAAACAAACTGAAAGGCTTGGAGGCCTCCAGTTCCTCTCAGGCCTTAGCTAGAACTCCTCCCTTCCCACAAGTAGATACATAAGAGAGCTTGAAGGTTTAAGATTCTTTCAGAATTATGTAATACCCTCTAGTTGTCAGGTAGCCAGTTCCAGTTTCTTGGGGCAGGAGTATAAAGGTGTTTGGAAGCCACCTTTGCACTCTGTATTTTGGGGCATGCTCAAGCCTGTGCATGAGGTTAGAATTGATGATCATGAGGGACCCTTCTGACCTTGAAGTCCATGAAGCTACTCAGGACCTCAGAGAGCAACATTTGCTCCAATGCCTGCATCAGTGAGAAGACTGCCCTAGTCCTGTGACTGATAAACACACACACACACACACACAACACTAGACACATACCCAAAAACACACACACACAAAACTAGACACACTCACACCACACACAAACACCCCAAAACACCCCCCACCGCCCCAAAACTAGACACCACACACACACACCCCAAAACGACTCTCACACACACATACCCCAAAACTACACGCTCACCCCCCCCCACCCCACCCCACATACACACTGCAAAACTAGAGACCCTCCAAAAACAAGCATCGGCCCAACAGGTGGCCAGGCAAAGGGAGTTTTAGGGAGGGGGAAAGCCCAGATTTGGAGGAGGGGGGGGAGCAACCCCCAGGATATC